CTCTGAGAATGCTGTTATTGCTATTATCAGTAGTATATATTTTGCAGGATCCAAAAGTCATTTCTGTGTCCCCTTCTTACTTAGTATCATTCTATGCCAATGGTGGTGAACCTATAGCGATATGCTGCTAGAGGCTGTTTATGTCATTGAAAACTCTGCCATAAGTGACACAGAGGCTGTTTATGTCATTGAAAACTCTGCTATAAGTGACATAGACCATACAGAGCTTCATTTTCAACCTTTTTACATATAACTTCTTTTTTTTTTTACTGGTACCAGGGATTGAACTCACGACCACGCGCTTGCAAGGCAGGCGCTTATCGCTTATGCTGCTGAGCTAAATCCCCAGCACCTACATATAACTTCTTTCATGTGTACCTTCTCAAAAGATAGCTTTCAGCTTTATATTTTTTCAGTACTAATCATTCACTGAGACACCCCAGAATAAAATGGTAATTATTTACATAATGTACTTAATATCAGACTTACTTTGCTGCAGAGTAGATCTCTTTGTTTTGTGGATGTAGGTGTATGTGTGTAACTAGCAATGATCCCAGGAATACTGTAGCCCCAGGTCTTTTTATTTTTTATTTTGAGACAGAGTCTTAGTTCAGGCTAGCTTTGTACCTGGAATCCTCCTGCCTCAGCTTCTAAGTAGGTGGGATTATCAATATGCACCAGATCTCTTGATCTTGCCCTCCTTTTTCTAAACCTCTTCTTCCTTAGTCTTCCCAGCTCAGTAATAGTATCAGAGTTTATTCATTGCTGTGGTAGGTTATAACGAAGTAATCTGTGATTCTTCTCCTTTCCTACACTCTGTTATATCTATCAGTAAATCCTATCACACCTTGAAAATAGCACTGGAGCTTAGATGGGCATGGTGGCACATGCCTGTAATCCTGGCATTTGAGAGGCTGAGGCAGGAATATTGCCATGAGTTCAAGGACAGCTTGGACTACATGATCAGATTCTGTCTCAGAAAACAAAACACATATGCGTGCGCGCGCACACACACACACACACACACACACACAGACAAAAGAGGAGACAAGATGAGACAAGGCCTCTGGAGTTCGTCTACTGCATCAACTCTCTGCCTGTGAACCATTGTCTCTGGTTCACACTCCTGCAGTAACTAATGTTTTTACTTTAGCATCTTGCTCTTCTGCTAGTCTCATTTCTCCAACAGCTATACTGAACTCTTAAACTTAAAATATATGTTGCCTCACCTTGCTGTGATTTCCTGTTATCCTCAAAGTAAAATTGAGATTCTGTCTTGGCTACTTTTCTCTCATTGCTGAGACAAAATACCTGAAGCCCAAATTGAAGCAAGGAAAGCTTTATTAACTTACAGGTTTTTGAGATTTCAGTCTGTACTCAGCTGGCTGCAAGGCAGGGGCATGACTGAGGGGCAACTGTTCATGGTGGCCGCAGACAGCAAGGGCAAAATGGCAAAAAGAGGAAAGCATGCCTCCTTTCCACTTATATTTTCTGCTGGTTACTCACCACTCCTGGGCGGGTGCAGCACTCACACTGCCAATCCCAGCACTAAACAGGGAACCAGTCACAAACACTAGACTGCCACCTTCATGAGGGCAGGAGGCTTTAGGGGGACACCAAGATTCAAACCATAACAGACTCGGTAGCAAAACTTGGAAAGTTCCTTCGCATCTTACCTCTTGTCACCTCTGTAATCCCACCACTACTTCCCTTCTCCATATTTTGATTAGTTTTTAAAACAAGACTTTATTATCTTAAAAGTCTGTGTATTTGTGATTCTTTCTGCATCTTCTCCCAGATATCTACAGGGCTAATTTTCTGGTGGTTTCTCAGCAGTGTATCTTCCCAGACCATTATAGCTGAATGTCTTTGTACACCAGTGTCTCATTACATTGCCTGTTTCTTTCTTCCTAGCACATAGCGTTAAGATGCTAGATGTTTCCTTGGTAGGTTATATTGTCTCTTTCCCTTTTCAAAAGTAAGTTTGGTTAAATGCTCATGTTCTATTCTCTTCCTTCAAAGTATTTAACTCTTGATAGGTGGTCATTTAAGTATTTGAAGAATGAATAAATGAAGATCAACTTTTTTCTAAGGGATTTGCTAATTGAATTGAGACTCAATACAAATTTGAAATCAGACAGTTAAATAGTTTTATCTGTTGATAAAAACCAGAGTGTTTAATAGGCTACCCTTGTTAGATTTTATAAGCTATTCCTCTGTATTTTGTGATGCCAAGGAATCACTTACTAATGCAAAGATGTTTTTAGTGACCAATAAAACTGTGTAGCAAGGGATTGGCAGGAGTATAGCTTGGTTGCAACCTATTTTTATATTGACTGAGGGCTAGCAATGGGTTTTACATTTTTAAAAGATAGGAAAAAGAGAGACAGACACAGACCATGTAAAATATTCTCTGGCCCTTTACAAAAATACCTGCTACCCCTTGCTGGAGGGTTTGACCCATCCTGCTCTTCCTGTGCTAGTACAGTGGTCCTCGGTCTAGCTAGTTACATCAGCATCCTGTCTTTTCTTCACCAAATCAGGGCCACATAGGTCTCAGGATCTTTGCATTTGCTCTTTCCTGCATGTAGAGTACTCTTCTGTATATGAGTGGCTGTGGTTCACTCCCTCAGCTCCTCTCTCTTATGTTCCTTCACAGTGTGGCCTTTTTTGAGCACATTATTTAAAATTGCAATCTACCCACTCATACCTGTACTCTCCTGTTTGTTACTGTTATTTTTTCCTTTGGACTTACCATCACCTACTCTGTTTGTTTTTTGTTTTTTTTTTTCTTTTTATCTTTCCAGTAGACAGTAAACTCAGTGAAAGCTGAAAATTTTTGTTTCATTTACTACTCTATCTCCAAAAATAGTATGGAGTAAATAGAAATATTTCTTAATTAATATTGTTTGGTAAAGCCATTATAAGAATCAGTGTGTAAAAAATAGCTTCTTTCAAAATACTTCATTAAGTCAGGCATGGTGGCACACACCTGTAATTCTAGCAGTTGGGAGGCTGAGGAAGGAGGATCACTGAGTCTGAGGCTGGACTAGGCTACGTAGTGAGTTTAAGACCAGCCTGAATTAGAATGAGACCCTGTCTCAAAAACCAAACAAAACAAAACACTTTAGTAGTAAATGTTGACTAAGTGTTGTAAGTCGTGTCTTGAGCTCAATCTGTGAAGGTGTGTAAATAAGGACTTGTCCTCAAGGAGGTCATTGTGGTAGTGAGAATAAGTATGGAAGCTAGTGAAATTCATTGTAAGATGAGACTAATTATTATGTACTTTCCTTACAGATTGAAGTATTTTGTACTATTTAAAATGTTTTTATAAACCTCACATTGTATAAGATTTTTTATTCTGTATTGCTCTCTTCTTTTTCAGTACAGCTAGTTTCTTCAGATTGTTACTGATACAAGTCCACATAAAACCATGTAAAAACCAAAAGGAGAAAAAGGGAGTTCTAATTAAACAATACCCAAGAGATTCTATAGATATTTCACTAGAAGTAGAAAGAGTAGTGGCCAATATCTTATCATAAGATCTTGAACCACCCCAGTAGTTAGCAGCATGCATTTTAAAACTTTCAAGAGATACTTTTTTTTTTTTTTTTTTTTTTTTTTGGTCTTCTTGAGACAAAGTTTCACTTTGTAGTGTAGGCTAGCCTTGAACTTATGTTGTGGCCGAAGCTGGCCTCGAATTTACAGCGATCTTCTTGCCTCAACCTCTGGAGTACTAGGATTACAGGCATGTGCCATCACATCCAGCTAGCAGATACTATTTGATATCTACCAAATTGACAAAATTCTGAAAGTTAGTACTAAATATTAGTGGATGTGGAGAGATGTAACAGACACTGTTTAACCTTACTAGTGAGAGTAAATAAAACTTTTTGAAAAGTAATATAAATTTTCCATAATACATATAGAGCCTAGCAATTCAGTTTCTAAGTCTATGAGCTGGAAAAACTTCAGAGTATACCTAGAAGCTTTATAGTAGCAAGAAAGTGGAAACAACCCAGATGCTAATTACCTTGGGAATAGATTAAAACAGTTGCCAAATATTGTTTTATATTGTGATAAAAAATTCTGGGGATTAAAACAAAACTACATTACCTTTACTGATTGAGTCTCAAACACTGAGGGGAAAGAGTAATTTATTCATTAATTTTATAAAGCTCTACACCTTGCAAACTATCAAGCTTTTATTTATTTATTTTTGTCTTTTTCCTTTTTTTATCGGTACCAGGGATCGAACTCACGACTGCCTGCTTGCAAAGCAGGTGCTTATGCCGCAGAGCTAAATCCCCAGCCCTATCAAGCTTTTATAAAAGCAGATGTACTTTGAAAACAAAATTTAAGATTAATAGGTAAATTAGTCTTATCAGTGAAAGAATGATAGTTGTTGAAATAAGACAGGTAAAAAAGGAGCTTTGGAAATAGATAGAATGTTATTGAGCTGTCTTCCTACACTGAGAAATTCTTACCAAGCTGTGGAAGAAAACTTGCTTTGTTCTTTATATCATCATTTTCATACACATATACATTATATGGAACCTGTGAATGTTTGAAAGTTGGAGTTATATTTTAGAACCTTTCTTAACCAGCCATACTGATATTTCAGTGTACTCTTGTTAAAAAACTGCTTCCACAATTTCTAACATAAATGTTTGATTTGGTTTCTGCTTTTGTTGTTTTGAACCTGTATTTTCTTTTTCTTTTTTTGTACTGGGGATTGAATTCATGACCTTGCGCTTGAGAGGCAGGTGCTTAACACCAGTGAGCTGATCTCCAACTCCTTGGACCTGTAATTTCATTGTGCTTCAAAACTATGTGCTGAAATACAGTTTACTACCTTGATAGAAAAAAAAATTGGAATTGTTGAAAAATTTTGCTCCAGGAATTCTTTAGTTTCCAGCTATTCATTGTTGTTTCTGATGTTGTCTCTAAACATATTCTTTCCTATATGAAGAGCTTGATTTTTCTTCCTGTATCAATAGGCAAGTGAAAGACCAAAATAAGAAGGTAGCAAATCTGAAGCACAAGGAACAAGTGGAAAAGAAGAAGAGTGCGCAGATGCTAGAGGAGGCCCGGAGGAGGGAGGACAACCTCAACGACAGCTCCCAGCAGCTGCAGGTCAGGGCGCAGGGAGCGAGGGTTCTGAATTGCATGTATTCTTTTCTTTTTTATCCTCCTGTTATTTTTCTTTCTGCTTGCTCCTTTCCTCTCAGATCAGTTGTTTAGCAATAAAGGAATGTCTTTAAATAGAAAGGACAAATTTTATTCCACAGCTTTGTGAAGACACCTTACCTTAGAAAATTCATCTTGCATCCAGTTGTGCTTACTTGACTGGTAAGTTCTTTGTCAGTTTAATGAGTGGCTTATATTAAGCTGCAGAGTTATCATTGTAATTCTTTGCCTGTTCTGATTATTAAAGTGCACTATTAGTCCTAGTTTTTGTTCATCTTTCTTCCTTAATTCTGTTTTTTTCTTTTCCTTTTGTCATTTACTCCCACTATTTTTTTCCTCCTTTTTTGGTTTTAAATTTAAAGAGAATATTCCATAGTGGTAGTGAACATTTTTTTCACATTCAAGGAATGAAACTTAAACCTAATTATTCACAGATAAATTAAATCAGGCCCAACAATAGTAGAAGCTACCAAATGATAAATCCCAGTTAGGTTCCTGCTATTTAAATAAGGCCTTTGTTTTCTTTCTTTTTATCTTTATCTCTAATCTTGACATTGAAAAACAGTGAAGTAGATGTTGTGCACATTTTCCACATGGGGAAATAGACTCAGAGTTGTTGACGTAGTTGTTTAGACTCATACAACTTTCTAAGTGGCTTTGCTATGATTTTAAACTATGGTGTGACTTCCTAAAACTACTGCTTGTCCTTTTTCTCTTGGCTACAGTCCTTCAGAATGAAGAGTCGGTCATGTAGGATACTATAATCTTACTGGAATCTGAAAATCAAGCTAAGCCACTGCCACTTTGTCTTTCAGTTCTTTCAGGTTCTAGTTGGGTATGATCTGGTGTTTGTGCTGAAATTGCATAATTGCACAGTCTTGACTGGAAAAATGAGCTGGAGTTACTATCCAGAAACTGTTTTTAGGCTTTACAAAAAGTTTATTCTAAACAGAGACTCCCCTGTCTACTCTCATTTTTCATTCTTTTTTAATATAACTTTTTTTTTTTTTACTGATAATCTATAGAAAATGTATGTTTCCTTAAAAGCATCAACTTTTTAAAGAAAGCACCTTGGAAGGTTTTTCTCAATTTTTGCAAAGGTTGTTAATACTGGCAAGTTTTCTCTTCATCCTTCTCTTCCTTTGTTTAAAAAATGCAAGTCTGGTGAGTGGAAAAAATTTCATTTTTTTTTAAGGGAATTAAACAAGAAAATATTTATTAGAAACAAATAGTGATTTTACATTCAGAGTAAAGATTAATGAGCACAAATCTAAAAATAATCAAAAACTTATTGACTCAGGAGAAATACGGAATAAAAAATAAAATCTAAATCACATTTGTGAAAGTCACCAAATGTTGAAGTGTGTAAGAACAAAATAATTAGATTTACTAAATCAACACTCAGCTCCTAAATTCCACAAACACCTTTACTATGGAGTTTATGAAAATCCACAGAAAACGTACTTCTTTATAATGTCTAGAAAATATTTTATGCTACCATTCCTGAGAATAAAAAAATTTCATATTTGTTAAAATGTATTTTTCTCTCATTTTGAAGGATTTTTATTTTTTTACAACTTGAAGTTTTCAATGTTTTATTAGTGTAATCTGAATCTCTCTGTTTTTCCATAGTGGTTTTTTTCTTCTGTGGATTGTTTTTGCTTATTTTATCTCCATTTTGGGAACATACATTTATTCATAAATATTTCCATACTTGCTGTGCTTTCATTATTTTTATCTATCTTTTTATATTTACAGTATTTTACATGGAGTTTCTATTTCACTAGAATACATGTAGATTATTATTTTATTGCTTATAGATTTGAATTGGCATCTTTATATTTTATGAAATTGGTTAGCAGTCTACTTCTGGCATTTAATTTGAAACTCTCTTCTTGAACTATGAGTACATTTTTAGTGATAAAAATAATCTGTTTTATAATAAAGCTAACATGTCTTTTAGTTGGCTCCTTAAATGTACCATTCTTCTTCTATCCTGCCTCTCTGCCTGATTTAATTCTTTTTTATTGCCGATCTGTCTCTGTAAACCAAACATATTCTTTTAAGTTTGTATTAGTTGTTGTAATACTTCAAGCACTTTCAGATGTAATGTTCTATTTACTAATTACATAAGCTGAGAGATAATTAAAATGTATTGTTTATTTTGCTTTTAGTAAAAATTAACGTTAGGGAATGCCTGACCAAGGATGTCTCAGTAAATATCAAAGTTATAAAAAATGGTAACTGTTGGGCGTATAATATACAAGTCACACATAGGTGAAATCCAGAGATAGTGAAAAGAGCTTTGGAGTATAATTAGGATACTTAGGATCTGATCTTGGACCTTTTACTAACTATTCTATTACTTAGTAAATTTCTAAGTATGTTATTACAAATGACAATTCAGTGGTAGGGAGTATCCCTAGGCCCAAATTGTGATCCAGGAACATAGGATTTCTAGAGAAGTATCAGACTATCAGACTCCAGGATTGCAGCTGGAAATGTCCAATGTAAACTTAGATTGATTTTAATATACATTGACGTCACCTTGCAGGTTTTTCAAAATGTGGACTGCTGGATTCTCTCCTTAAGGTTTCCTCTGTACTGGGATAAGTCCCATGAATTTGCATTTTTAATAACTTTTTGTGTGATGATGATATGCCTAGTACAGGGACAACACTGATAATAACTGGACATATGGCATCATTTATACTAAGAATTAAGAAGCTATCAGATATGACTGGGAATATAGAAGGAAGATAGAGTTTGAGTATAAAAAGGATTGATGAATACAGTGAATAGGCTGGGCATAGTGTCAGACATCTGTAATCCCAGCATTCAGGAGGCTGAGGCAGGAGGAACACTGAGTTCAAGGCCAGCTTGAACTGCACAGTAAAACCCTGTCTCAAAAAGATAAAAATAAAAAATAAACTAAATCAAATATATTAGAATCTAGAATTTCACATTGAGATTATGGAAATAATTTATAAATTGCTAGGGCACCAATTCACTACTCTGAAAACAGGCAAATAAAAGGAAAGTATTAGTTATTTTTTCTTTATGAATAAATTATATTGAGGATAACCAAATAAATTAATCATGGGCCAGAGATTTAGCTTAGTAGCATAAGCAACTGCCTGGCAAGGGTAAGGTCATGTTTGATCCCTGTTACCAAAATCAATCAGTCAATCAATCATGGTAAATTTGTTGTTGAAAGAATTCTAGCTGCTAAATGCAGAAACGATAGAATTGAAAAAATTACCATTTTGGAGTGATGAAATGAAAAATAAGATTTAGGCAACTCTGGTGACTGCTAAAATGAAATATAAGTATACATGAAATATAAAGGTTAGTTTTATAATGAATGGAACAAGGTAAAGTCCATTGAGAAATCTTGTGGTTCCTCCAAAAGAGAAAAGAGAAAAAAAAAAAAAAAAAGCACACATGCATTTTGAATCCTAGGCTGTGATGCTTTTGGGGATGTCAGAAAAATCAAGCCAGATCACAAAAAAGAATATGAGGTAGAGAATATGTTACTTGCTCAAGAAAATGTATCAATGACACTGAGATTATGTAAGAAATTCTGCTTGATATATGGCTTGATTTCTTCACTTGAGGTCTGGCAAGGAAAGAAAAATGAGAAATATGATCATTACAGCTTTTAAATTAAGAAAGAAAATTTCAAGCAAATCAATGCTTAGAACTTACTTGGATCCTAACTTGAATAACTTTAGAAAGGCATTTGTGAGCCTCTGGGAGAGCCTATATTACGGCTACATGGAGTTTATTACACTGTGGTCTCTACTTTTGCATATGTTTGAAAGCTTTCCTGATAAAATGCTGAAAAACAAATATGTCACTTAACCACTTAACTCTTATAATTATTTTGTAAAGTTAGTCATAAGATAGTTAGACTCTGGACTTTCGTGTGTTGTTCAGCCTTTTAAAACATATTTACATAGCCTTGGAATAAAGTCATTGGCCTTGGCTCAGATTATTTCTGTTTTTTCTTCCTGTGGTGCTGTGGATGGAACCTAGGGCCTAGCCTGCTAGGTAAGCCCGCTTCCACTGAGCTACACCCTCAAGATGTCTTATTCCTTAGCCATATTCGTTCTCTTAAGAAATATTTTAAAAATTTTCACCAAATAGCGTTTCGTTTCATGTTTGTACTGTCTTTGAGTTTCTTTCATTTTAAAAGCCCGGATTATATAAAAATGATTTTATTGTACAAAGATTGCAGTTTTTAATAATATAGTAGAAAAATTCATCTTTAACAAATGTTTGCTTAATCCTTCCAAATATTCTTAAAGTTTTTCTCTGTAATGATAATGGTAACATATGCACGTATACTGCTTTGTATCTTAACTTTTAAAAACTTAATGCTTAAACATTTCCATGAACTATGTTTACATAATGTTTCTATTATTTTCGGTGCAATTCAAAGATTTATTAGCTTTATACAAGTTTTTTTGTTGAACATTTTTTATTTCCAGTTACTTAACATATTTGTACAGATAATTTGTATTAAATTAAATGATTTTATTTAGGCATTCCACAGAGCAGACTTAGTGTGAAAGTATGCAAAAGGTGACTCTTCTCTAATTTGTATCCACAAATTCTGAGCTAATATGTGATACTCCCAGCAGTTTGTAAGCATTCCATTTTTTCCATAGCTACTTCGGTTCTATTTGATTTTGTATTCATTCTATACCCATATAATGGTATTTTCAAGTTGTTTTATTTCTTTAATCAAAATGCATTTTTGCTAACTAATGATTTATTGTCTGAAATATCTTGTGAGATTTTAGTTTTACTCACAATTTACTCTGTCCTGTAAATCTATATCTAGTACCTGATGTTATGCATTGGGTAATGAAATGTGACACATATTTGACCCTTTCAGTCATATTTTAAAAATAGGTTTGCTACCTTTTATTGTATAAACC